TTTTGATGACCATTGGATTATATTTAGCTGTAAAATGTGCCACAACAACTAACAGCACGACGATGTGCGTAAATATTTGGCAAATGTCCCTGGTGAAAATGCTAAGGGTAATATCTGGGCAACGCTCCGTGACATAATTTCAAAAGCAAAATCTTCCAAAATGGATTTGGACATAAGGGGGCTTGTAACATATTGTAGTGTTGTAGGGTATTACATGGTCGGCCCCGCACGACTGTAGCCTTTGCTTACTTGTTTCGAATATTTTTGAGATAATAAGCATTCATTTTCACTATAAAATTGCAGTTTCGATTCCATAATCTAAACAGTTTGAAAGTGTAACGCATTCATTGTTCGAAACAGCTTTAGTCTTACTAGATTACTAAACTAGATAACTAAACTTGTTCGATAGTTTTTTGCATTAGGTGTGTTCGTTTACTGGATAATTTCTACACATTTTCACATTTCGTTTACCCAAAAGTCCAATAAGTGAGAGCGAAATGAGAGAGATATTTGAGTTACTGAGAGTTTGCAAGAAAGGATTTTCTAGTAACATCAGCTGTTGAATAATCAGTTGTATTTTTCGAGAAGAAAAGTTATTAAGATTAATAACAATATGGGACCATACCAAAACGAGAATCTATATAGACAATTTTATACTACAAAGATTGTTATGTCTTAAATACCAAATTTGAAGCTATTTCGTGGGTAAATGTAACTAAGATTATCATATCCTTTTTGAAGCTCTACTTCAAATAATGTGGTCTGTATCGTCATTTCAACAGACATACAGACGGACATCGTTAAATCGACTTAGAATTTTATGCTGCTCATGAATATATATACTTTATGGGGTCTAAGACGAATATTTAGGGAAAATACAAATGGAATGACAAAGTTAATATACCTCCTTTTTAAGATGTTTTTTTTTTCTCTTGAGAGAGAAAAAATTAAAAAAATGTATTTGAAAATACGTTTTGAAAATACGTACTAAAAAGTACTACATTTGGTATTTGGGTAAGGGATTGAGTTGGATATCTAAAATTTGGCATTAGAATCACCTTTTGTGCGGTTTTGTTGATACATGGCGGAGGCTTTAGAAATACGTAGTAAAAAGTATTAACTTTAAAATCTGAGGGAGAAATAGGACTGGAATTCTCAAATTTGATATTAAGGGTCTATTGGTATCTGGAATTGATATATTATGGTAGTTTAGGAAATATATACTATAATTGGTAAAGTACAAAGTGGTTCTAATTTTGAATCAATGGATTTCCTACTATTCCTTCCGGAAAGGAATAACTTGAATAATGCATAAAACTTTGAAAGTCTGAAAGTTTAGTACGATGAATAAAGTTTAAATAAAAATGAGTAAGAAAAGGCTATAGTCGTGCGGGGCCGACTATGTTATACCCTACAACACTACAATAAGTCAGAAGCTCCCTTATGTCCAAATCCATATTGGAAGATTTCGCTTTTGAAATTAGGATTTTGACTAGGAACATTTGCCCAACATTTATGCACTCCGTCGGGATGTTAGTTGTTGTAGTCCATTTTACAGATAAATATAATCCAATGGTTATCCAAAATGCTAGAATTCTTCCCTGTCATTAACTCTTTCACAGGCGTGTCGATTGTCTTCAATTGTGTGATCGGAAAAACATTTTTGTTTTTGGTTAATTTGAACCCCTAAATATTTTGCAATCATCTCCAAAAGCAAGAAGCCGCTTTTTGTGTATTTCGGATATTGCCTGTACTTTTTCACACAAAATTAGTGATCCATGTAACTCTAACTTTATGTGAGATTTCGTGTCTTTTGGTTTCTATTTGTGACCTCTATAACGGCTGCAAAATCAGGAAAATTTTTAGTTGTTGGTTCATTTCAACCCCTTAATATATTGCGAACATCTTGGAAAACAATAGGCCTAGCCCTTCTGAGCTCAACCCTACCCTTGTGAAAATTTCCGTGAGGATCAGACGATATTTGCAATACTTATATAATATCCCCAACCTGTGTTGTAAGGTGAAAAAATATTACAAAATAATATAAGTCAAATTGAAAAAATCGCATGCGATAAAACATATGAAAAAAATAAAAAAATGTCACAAAATATACAGGGTTGTCCATATTCGGCGGACCCATCTGGCAACGCCATAACTTTTGACAGAGATGTCACATCGCTTAATGACATACCGTTTGAAGCGTCAGTCCAAGCAGATTTTTACCATGAACCAATACACGCGCTCTGAAATAGTTGAAATTTACATTCAACAGAAGTAGTCAATTGTGAAAACTCAACGTGCTTTTAAAACATTGAAAATGTGAGAAGTGCGCCTTCTAAGAACACCATTATGCGTTTATACGAAAAATTTTGGTAAGGCTCTTTCTAATCCGACCAAGGCGATCGGCCGAGAATATCGCTGCCGTACGAGCCAGTGTTGAGAGGTCCCCAAGAACATCCCAAAAACGCCGTTCTCAGCAGTTGGGCATGGCTCGGTCCACTTTACAACGGATTATTCGCATGGATTTACATTTGTTCCCGTACAAAATTCAATTGACGCAAAGAATGTTGCCTGCGGACAAGCCTCGTCGATTGGAATGGGCCCAAAGAGTCATGGGTCCGTCGAATATGGGCAACCCTGTACAAAATCTATATTAACATCTTTATTGGCATATTTTTCTCCATTTTTTTTAGATCTTATGCCTTTATGTCAAGAGGGCATTCTGAATTGACAAAATTTGTCAAAATCGGTCCAGCCATTCTTGAGATATAAGCATTCTAACTAACATCCCCTTCCTTTGTATATACACATTGTATATATTTCGCTATATATATCCGATATATTTACTATCGGCATCTACGTAACGGTCAGAATTGACTTGTTCGTCTATTGGTGATTTCGCCGGGATTAAAAATATTCGCGGTTTAATGGAAAATTTAACTTTTATTTAACACAAATATTATGGTCTATTTCACCCACTAAATATTACCCGATGACCATAAAAATTGGAAGGCTTCTGCCCAGCCCTAAGCTCTAGTCCCATGCTAACTTCCGTTTTGATTGGTCTATAATTGCGACCTTTAGAGCAACTGCAAAATCAGTTTTTTTCAGTTTTTGGTCCATTTTAACCCCTAAATATTGCGATCATCTCCAAAAGAAATAGGATTCTATTCTGACCCTAGCCCCACCTCCATTCAAAATTTCGTGAAGATCGGGCCATAATTGCGACCTGTAGAGTGATTACAAATTAACATGGACAGACGGACAGACGAACGGACGGACATACATAGCTAGATCGGCTCAGTTCGGCGAGATAGGAAGATCCATATATACTTTCCTATGTGGGAAACCAATATTTCGAGGTGTTACATAATTTTTGGCCCAATCAAACTTATAATACCCCCAACACATAGTGTTGTGAATAAATTGTGCGTTTTGAGAACTTAAAAAATAAACTTAACACGGACTGAATCTAAAATTTAAATGTGGATTTTTTCTGACGAAGTAACGGGCCGTTTAAAAGTGATATATGTATATTATATTTATATACATATATATATTATTTCGCAATAATATGGTATAATAATAACTCTCAGAAAATGCGAAATCAGTGCCGGCAAAACAGAGATAAGATGAAGTTGATGCAATTTAGTACTTAAAAGTACTAAATATTGTACTGTTAGAGAGAAAATGTCACGGAAGGCAGAATTTTAAAATTTGACACGAGGGGTGAGGGAGGGTCACTTCTCATATAGAGGTTGAAATATAATTAAACTATTTTGTCTGTATTATTTACTACAAATGAAAGCGGCAGGTGGTAAATGTGTCATTATATTTTCCAAAATTGTATTTTTATAATATTGGAGTCGATAAAAGTACAAAATACCCAAATAGTTCTAGATACCAACAATTGAGATGTTTTTAGTCGGTAAAATGACGTACCTTTTTTGTTCAAATTTGGCATATTGTAATATGCATATCATGTACAGGTAAGAAGCTAACATGAAAGTTATTGGATAATGCTTCTCGTACCTCCCACACAAAAGTTTACAATTTTTGAATAACAATAAGTGTCAGAAACAGACATTAAAACATTCTTTTGATAGATATCCGATTAAATTTACATCACTTACGTTCAAACATCTGTATCAGACTTAGCTTAAGCCTGACATAATCGACTGAGTCCCTCTAGCACCACACGTTTAAAATTATCATTGCTCCCATAAATACGAAATGATCTAACTTCTCACATTGCAATATTTTTATCGAGTGTAAAAATAGAATATATAGGCCCACTCTTTCTGCCTTTCTTCCTCCCCCCCCCAAAATGTATACATAAATGGTCATGTGTTGAGGGTATATATCGGTAGAAAAACCGACTGATAAATTGTAAAGGAAAATGAATGATCGAATAACGCTTAAAAAACGCATATTCACATTCATCCCCGCGATAATATCAGAAAAGAAATTCCGTTCAAATTCAAATCCCAATTAACCCTCGTATTTCCTCATTTTCCACTTTCATTCATTCATATTTAGCCAGCCACATGTCTAGATACTTTGTTGGCCACCTAAATTACCACCACCATCAGCGAGCTCCAGCAAAACAAGTATACAAACAAACTATCCAGCTAGCACAGCTGACGCCATCCTCATCACCTACTGCTGAAGGGGGCAGCACCAAACTGAAAAAGGACGATGGTTAAGACAAATAGGGAACATTTTCATTGGTAACCGAAAAAAAGTAAAAACTACAAAAAGAACAAGTAAAAGAGAAAACCAACAGACAAATAAACCCGTAACGCTGGGAGTTTTCCGACGAGAAGGAGATGCAATGTTGGTTTTTTATTCGGTTCAACGATTCGATTTGCTTACAATCATCACTGCCAACTAAATTTTCATTTACTTTTTCCTCCAGACAATTTGCTGTGTTCGCCTTGGCTTTCTTGTCTGGTTAGGTTGGTTGGTCGGTCGGTCGCTGTTCAGTGGTGACTGGCGTTCGGTTAAGTTTTGAGCAGAATTTAGTTTGCGACGAATGCTCAATGCGACACAACGCGTCTTGAAGTCATAGCCCATTACGGCCACCGACGAAGTTGTTTAACTAAAAAGTAACGTCATCATCGCCATCGCCGCTGTCATCATCAGCGGCATTAACATCATTGGCGCTGTCGCTGAGGAGCTGATATTTTTGTTTTCTTTTGGGTGATTATGATGACAAGGAGTGTTGGTGTGTTATTGTTGTAATAGAATTCAAATAATTAATAAAACCGAATACACACAGTCATATAACGCAGAACACATTCGTCGTGCTGTCAGCTATTTTAAAATATTAAAATAACGAATATTTGTATTTCAAAATAAATTATTTGCAACACGAGGCATTTGGATTCGATGTCGTTGGAATTAGTTGTGTTTTGAGTTCGTTAACGCTTAGAACGGTGCAACCGCAAGGCAACAAAGATGAGAACACAAGTTCTAATATTTTGTGTGGCAATATTGCTGCTAATCTGTATTCTCTAGAATACAGAAGATATAGAGTTTTCTGAAATGGCATTTAGCTATAATAAATTTAAAATCCGTGCAAAATTAATCAAAATGTAGTAACACCTCATGGTGTTGTTAAACCAGAATAAAAAGTGCAATTATTTACAACATACCCTCCGGAAAACTCGTGAAAATCAACTCGCACGACTTCCCCTATCCCCTTAACAACATTAAAATCCTTTAGACAACATGAAGACCGTTAGAAAAAGAAGATTCCGTCGTTCAGGATTTCAAATGCTCACCAAAGAAGCTCAGCAGAGTCTACAACAATACGAATGTAAGTATAAAGTAAATAATATGTGTATATGTCATTGGAAAGGAACGTGGAATGTTAAAGGAGGAACAACACAATTTCCTTTGTGAACATTTCCCATTGCCTTCATAAAGTCTCTAAGGAATGTACGGAATTAAATAATAGAAATATATGAAGACATACAGACATACATTTATGTGGATAGTTTTGTGACAAAAAACAACATTGGATAAGATGACAGATAGTAACAGTTGTGTTTCGTTTGAAGAATTCGTGGATTTTTAATTGCCCATTTCCTTTAACCCGAAAATTTCCATAAACACTTTAAGTCCTATCTTGAACAAAATGTAACAAATTTGTTTCGAAATGCTTTGATCTTCATCTCGGACAGTCCTGAAAGAGGTAATTTTCAGACTTTAATCCGTAAAATTTCAGGAAAACAATACAAGCCACATGTTTCGGAAACCAACATGGACAAGATGGAAAAAATTTAAAACGGGCTTTAAAAAATTTTAAACAACATTTTTTGAACATTTTGGCTGTAGCTTTCTTATATATCTTCGCCCCATTTCAATTTTATAGGATTGATTATGGCACACCCGACCAAATTCAGGCTATAAGTTAGTACTTCACCTTCGTAACATGCACTCCACAACAATGATATTTGGTACTAGATATCAGACAAACCTCAGAAATACCTCCAAAGACCTAAAATGGCCAAGACTAGACAAAATGTGTGTTTGAGCAAATGGTTGGTGTCTACAATACATAGAGTAATTGCTCATGACAGGGCATGGAAGAAGCATCGACACAGCTGCAAGGACAATGAACTGGTAAACCAATTTTGGAATTCAAAATGTTGACTGAAAAATTATTCAAATTTGTAAAAATTTTTGGAAAACGCATGTCACAATAACCTCCGCTTGACGTGGTTTCAAATTGTATTGCATAATTAACATTGGTAACTATTGCTCCGTTCCAGAACCAGCAAGAATCTACAGTTTTGAAATTTTTTCGATATCATAAAGGGAAAATCGGTTATCGTGTTAAAAACTTTTACATTCTTGCAGTTCTGGAAAAAACCATATATTTTTATGATATCGTAACAACAGAGGTGTTTTCACAGGGTTGTCATATTTTGACTCTGTCTTGTCCCATCTTTATATACCTCTGCCAAATTTTATACAGATCGGTTCGAATTTTGATATAGCTTCCATATATATCTTCATCCGATTTTATGGTGCACCAAATGTGGAATATTAGCCCAAATTAGATGGATTTTTGCACATTCAACCGAATTTATCCTGGAGGCACATACGACATTTGTTGAAACACGGTTCCCATATATCTTTATCTCAATACATATTTTTTTACTAATAACATTTTAACTGCACCAGTTCGAAGATTAATTTTGATTAATTTCTGCACCAGAAAGTCTTTTGAAGTTTACCTAAGAGCATATTAGTTACACATCCAATTTTCTGGCCAAAATAGTCTTTTCATAATGAAATTTGACCATCACCATATATAAATCCTAGTAAACATCAGTGACCTCGATATCAAATTTCAGGATTAAAGCTTTATCCATTTACTCAATTGCAAATTTAGTACCATTTTTCAAAATAAAAATCAGAATCCAACCCTATGTCCCAAATGTATTACCATACTTTTCGTACAGTTATACTGCGCATGTCTACGATCAGGAACCTCGATACCTAATTTCAGAATTCCATCTCTATTCCAACGGCACATTTTGTTGTATTTTTCACTTTTTGTAGATTCATAGTACGAATTTCCAAAACCACCTCTTTCTCTCAACCACAGAGACCATAGTGACTTCATATCAAATTTCAGAATTTGAGCTCTACTCCTTCGCCTAATACCAAATTTAGTACCATTTAGTACTTTTCGTATAATTATAGTATACAACCACCTCCATATCTAAATTCCAGATACCAACAGACTTAAGGGTAAGCCTGTAAAAATTCTGGATTTCAACTCAATTCCTTCACCCAATATCAAATTTTGTACTTTTTCACGTACATATCTCAATTCCAGATGCCAACATAGACCTCAGTATCAAATTTTGTGATTATGCTGTATCCCTTCACCCAATGACCAATATAGTACCACTCAGTACATTTTGAACAATTACAGTATAGTAGTAAACTAAATATCAAATTTCAGAATTTTGCCCCTATACCTTCAACCAATACCTAATTTAGTACCATTTAGTACTTTATATACAATGTCCGGGCTACATATGAACAGAGACCAAATTTCAGATTTCAAGCACTATCTGTTCACCCATTACCTAATTGAACCAAATATAGTACTATTTTCTACATTTTGGGCACCTGAAGTGCATATTTTCAAAACTACTTCTTTATCACAAAATCTCCACCTATAGGGACCCCAATAAAAATTTATAGCTTCATACGTTCACCCTAAACCAAACTGTTCTAAATTTAGTACCATTTCGCATACTTAGCACACATTTCTAAAACTATATATAAAACTTAATTTTCAGTCTCGATGCTCCTACCCAATTTAATTTTTTAAGCTCTATTCGTCCACATAATAATGTGAAATGGTACCATTTTAGATGTTTAGTACAATTTTTGAACTTTTCGCAACCTTTAAGTTCGAATTTCCAAAATCCCTTTGGTACATCTATCTTTCAATTTATCAATGGCTCTCATTTCTAATTTCAGAATTCTAGCTCATTCCGCTTGTCCAACACAAAGTATTTACTTTTTAGTACCGTTTAGCTATATCCAAATCTGAACCGATCTCGACAAAAATTTAGCAAAGGTATTTCTGAGCTGTATTTGATATATTTTTCCCGCGGAGGACAAAAATAACAAATCGGATGAAGAATATATATTGGGGCTATAGCTATATTAACAGACGGGCGGACGGACGGCAATGCATAAATCGGCTCAGAATGTGATTCTATGCAGATCATCAAAAGGAATTATGGGTTTATCTCTTTTCCGTATGCCTGTTACAAACAAATGCACAAAGACATAATACCTTGACCACCTTATGGTGTAGAGTTTTTTTGAGTTTGTTTGTTTTGACTTCGCTTCACTGTGTTACGACATGTTTACGCACCCCATGCTTTGTCTAGTATTTTGTTTTGTTTCGTTTGTCAGTTAAACAAGGTCGTCTTATTCAAGGACTTGAGTTGCTATTATGACTAGGTGAGTGGGTGGTATTCGTGCATGCGTGGCAAGGATTTGTTAAATCATTGACAACATGTCACTGAACGTGACACGAATATTATTTGAGACAGATCGTTGCCATAAAGGATAGGGGTATTGCAGAGGGTAAGAACCACCCACAACTTTATTTACCGGTTTTACAGATTGAGTAGAAACTTTGCAATATTTTTTACAATTAATTCAAAATTATTATTGAAGGAGCCTACTTAGTCTTTGGGTACTAAAAGTCATCACCATCGATAACTCGGGGTATTTTAATACGTTCTTTTTCGTTTGCCAGCGTTGGATGTCGAACTCATTATCTACGGTTTTGTGGCCCGACGCACACACCCATTACTTGGTAATAAGGAAAATAAATTATTTTGCTTTGTAACCTATTATTTTGAACATTCTAGTTTACGCTTACTTTTAGTTTTTGCATAGTAGAATGATTTAGTGTCAGAATTATCCAAACATAGTGCTCAATTTTTGTTATACGAAAAATGATTTATAAAGGCAAGAATATCCAATGGAAGATTTTATATAGGAGTTTTTTTTTTATATCCTCCACGTTGTAAAGGAGGGTACATTAAATTGACCATTCCGTTTGTAACACCACCAAATATTTGTGATCAGTCTGACAGGGTTATAGCTCCAGAACATTGTATATATAAGTCTAAGTTTTCCTATATCGTCCATATAACGGTGCCTCCCATTATTCGGTATTTTGATCATTTTAGTCACATTGTTTCACGATTTTTTTCCAATTAGGTATTTAGAATTGGAAAATGAATTTTAGCAAACATTTTTTTAATCGGATTTGTTTAAAATTCGGTATTTGTAGTTCATAAATATTGCACATATTGGTCCACGGTTTCCACATAACGGTATACACTGATATTTAATAATTTAATGATTCACATTTTTCCACGGAATTGTTTCAAATTTAGTATTTAAGACGGACAATAGATAACAATCCTTGTAATGGAAATTTGTATCTTTACCCCCCTTTCATATGGCCCCAAATAATTGTCCCACCCACGGTATTGTTTTTGAAAACTTTAACAAAATTCTCCAACCCATTTACAGTATTACGAAGAACACGACTATGTTTTTTTTTTGTCGTAATTTATGTTTTTTTACTCGTCTCATTTAACAGTTCCATAGAACAAGAATCTGCCCATGGGGTCGTTCGTAAGACAACAACTGAAAACTTTGAAAAGATATTTTTTTTAAAAAGTCCATAAATCGATAATCTTTACACTGCATCATAAACAAATTAAAATATAAAAACATTCTGTATTTTTTTAGATTCTTGCTGACCACAGTGGTTTGGTTTCGAAGATAAACAGTTTTGACGCATTAGAAATTTTTTTCTTTTAAATTAAATATTGCATTTAAAATTATCTAGTGACGGGGTAAGCAATGCTGAATACGAAATGTTCTGGTCATCTTTATTGACATGGACAAACGATTATGTATCAGCAGGAGAATCTCCCAACTGTCTACATCCAATAGATTGAAATTCTATGTACCGTTGTCACGAGCGACGTGCCGTTTTACGGGTCTACAGGAAAATTGGCAATACAGAATATCTGGAGGTGCCGTCATATGGGGGCTAAATCAGGAATATATTTATGTCTATAAAAGAAGAATATGTTTGTATGTTTGATTGTTTGTAATTTGAAATTTTACTGGGAACTGGAGATATAGCATCAGAATTGGAGGTACTTCCAAAAATTTTAGATTTTGTATGCACATATCTATTGATGAAATTTCGAATATGTAACCGACTTGGATGGAGTGATGGAATTTGGT